TGCGTAGCATCAACTGCTGCCGCAAGTTCACATGAACGTTAACATCCCACCCCACCCCTTTACCCCAAGGTTTAGGTAGTTCCAGAAGCCTGGACGAGCCTATATATACATTGATATGATTATATCCGCCGACCCCTGCCGTCAGCAGGGGGAGCGCGTCAGAGGAGGCCTTACTAGCAACAAGATGCCAGAAGGGGCGAAGAGTTTGTGCAGAACGAAAGCCGGCTCCAGGAGGACACGAGCAGGGTGGCAGTTGGCAGTGTAGAAACGCAGGAAAAGTCAAGGTTTGGAGCTAGTTTCTAGTCGGTTCAGAAAGTGACGTTTGGCAGTCTGGGATACGGGCCGCGGGCCCAATCCGTCCTTCACTGCCATGGTGTTTTAGCCCTGCGACACGGTCCTTGGACTCCAGCTTGGAACGAAGCGGTGCAGAACGAAAGCCGGCTCCAGGAGGACACGAGCAGGGTGGCAGTTGGCAGTGCAGAAACGCAGGAAAAGTCAAGGTTTGGAGCTAGTTTCTAGTCGGTTCAGAAAGTGACGTTTGGCAGTCTGGGATACGGGCCGCGGGGCCAATCCGTCCTTCACTGCCATGGTGTTTTAGCCCTGCGACACGGTCCTTGGACTCCAGCTTGGACCGAAGCGGTGCAGAACGAAAGCCGGCTCCAGGAGGACACGAGCAGGGTGGCAGTTGGCAGTGCAGAAACGCAGGAAAAGTCAAGGTTTGGAGCTAGTTTCTAGTCGGTTCAGAAAGTGACGTTTGGCAGTCTGGGATACGGGCCGCGGGCCTAATCCGTCCTTCACTGCCATGGTGTTTTAGCCCTGCGACACGGTCCTTGGACTCCAGCTTAGACCGAAGCGGTGCAGAACGAAAGCCGGCGCCAGGAGGACACGAGCAGGGTGGCAGTTGGCAGTGCAGAAACGAAGGTAAAGTCAAGGTTTGGAGCCGCAGAACGAAAGCCGGCTCCAGGAGGACACGAGCAGGGTGGCAGTTGGCAGTGCAGAAACGCAGGAAAAGTCAAGGTTTGGAGCTAGTTTCTAGTCGGTTAAGAAAGTGACGTTTGGCAGTCTGGGATACGGGGAAGCGGGCCCATCCTTCCTTCACCGGCCATGGTGTTTAGCATGCGGACCACAGGTCATTGGACCTCCAGCTTGACCACGAAGCGGTTGCAGAAAACGAAAGCCGGCTCCAGGAGCAGGACAGGAGCAGGGTGGCAGTTGGCAGTGCAGAAACGCAGGAAAAGGAAGGGAAAAAGTCAAAGGGTGAGCTAGTTCCTAATCGGTTCAGAAAGAAAGTGCCACGTTTGGGCAGTCTGGGATACGGGACGCGGGGCCGGGGCGGCCCAATCCGTCCTTCAGTGCCATGGTGTTTTAGCCATGCGACAGGGTCCTTGGACTCCAGCTTGGACCGGAGCTGGGCAGAACGAAAGCCAGCTCCAGGAGGACACGAGCAGGGTGGCAGTTGGCAGTGCAGAAACGCAGGTAAAGTCAAGGTTTGTAGCTAGTTTCTAGTCGGTTCAGAAAGTAACGTTTGGCAGTCTGGGCTACGGGCCGCGGGGCCCAATCCGTCCTTCACTTGCACCATGGTGTTTTAGCCATGCACGACACGTCCTTGGGACTTCAAGCTTGGACCCTCTTGGGACCAGAGCGGTGCAGAACGAAGGCCGGCTCCAGGAGGACACGAGCAGGGTGGCAGTTGGCAGTGCAGAAACGCAGGTAAAGTCAAGGTTTGGAGCTAGTTTCTAATCGGTTCAGAAAGTGACGTTTGGCAGTCTGGGATACGGGCCGCGGGCCCAATCCGTCCTTCACTGCCATGGTGTTTTAGCCCTGCGACACGGTCCTTGGACTCAAGCTTGGACCGAAGCGGTGCAGAACGAAAGCCGGCTCCAGGAGGACACGAGCAGGGTGGCAGTTGGCAGTGCAGAAACGCAGGAAAAGTCAAGGTTTGGAGCTAGTTTCTAGTCGGTTCAGAAAGTGACGTTTGGCAGTCTGGGATACGGGCCGCGGGCCCAATCCGCCCTTCACTGCCATGGCGTTTTAGCCCTGCGACACGGTCCTTGGACTCCAGCTTGGACCGAAGCGGTGCAGAACGAAAGCCGGCTCCAGGAGGACACGAGCAGGGTGGCAGTTGGCAATGCAGAAACGCAGGAAAAGTCAAGGTTTGGAGCTAGTTTCTAGTCGGTTCAGAAAGTGACGTTTGGCAGTCTGGGATACGGGCCGCGGGCCCAATCCGTGCTTCTCTGCCATGGTGTTTTAGCCCTGCGACACGGTCCTTGGACTCCAGCTTGGACCGAAGCGGTGCAGAACGAAGGCCGGCTCCAGGAGGACACGAGCAGGGTGGCAGGTGGCAGTGCAGAAACGCAGGAAAAGTCAAGGTTTGGAGCTAGTTTCTAGTCGGTTCAGAAAGTGACGTTTGGCAGTCTGGGATACGGGCCGCGGGCCCAATCCGTCCTTCACTGCAATGGTGTTTTAGCCCTGCGACACGGTCCTTGGACTCCAGCTTGGACCGAAGCGGTGCAGAACGAAAGCCGGCTCCAGGAGGACACGACAGGGTGGCAGTTGGCAGGGCAGAAACGCAGGAAAAGTCAAGGTTTGGAGCTAGTTCCTAGTCGGTTCAGAAAGTGAGCGTTTTGGCAGTATGGGGATACGGGCCGCGGGCCCCAATCAGTCCCTTTCACTGCCATGGTGTTTTCGCCCTGCGACACGGTCCTTGGACTCCAGCTTGGACCGAAGCGGTGCAGAACGAAAGCCGGCTCCAGGAGGACACGAGCAGGGTGGCAGTTGGCAGTGCAGAAACGCAGGAAAAGTCAAGGTTTGGAGCTAGTTCTAGTCGGTTCAGAAAGTGACGTTTGGCAGTCTGGGATACGGGCCGCGGGCCCAATCCGTCCTTCACTGCCATGGTGTTTTAGCCCTGCGACACGGTCCTTGGACTCCAGCTTGGACCGAAGCGGTGCAGAACGAAAGCCGGCTCCAGGAGGACACGAGCAGGGTGGCAGTTGGCAGTGCAGAAACGCAGGAAAAGTCAAGGTTTGGAGCTAGTTTCTAGTCGGTTCAGAAAGTGACGTTTGGCAGTCTGGGATACGGGCCGCGGGCCCAATCCGTCCTTCACTGCCATGGTGTTTTAGCCCTGCGACACGGTCCTTGGACTCCAGCTTGGACCGAAGCGGTGCAGAACGAAAGCCGGCTCCAGGAGGACACGAGCAGGGTGGCAGTTGGCAGTGCAGAAACGCAGGAAAAGTCAAGGTTTGGAGCTAGTTCCTAGTCGGTTCAGAAAGTGACGTTTGGCAGTCTGGGATACGGGCCGCGGGCCCAATCCGTCCTTCACTGCCACGGTCCTTGGACTCCAGCTTGGACCGAAGCGGTGCAGAACGAAAGCCGGCTCCAGGAGGACACGAGCAGGGTGGCAGTTGGCCGTGCAGAAACGCAGGAAAAGTCAAGGTTTGGTCTGGGATACGGGCCGCGGGCCCAATCCGTCCTTCACTGCCATGGTGTTTCAGCCCTGCGACACGGTCCTTGGACTCCAGCTTGGACCGAAGTGGTGCAGAACGAAAGGCGGCTCCAGGAGGACACGAGCAGGGTGGCAGTTGGCAGTGCAGAAACGCAGGAAAAGTCAAGGTTTGGAGCTAGTTTCTAGTCGGTTCAGAAAGTGACGTTTGGCAGTCTGGGATACGGGCCGCGGGCCCAATCCGTCCTTCACTGCCATGGTGTTTTAGCCCTGCGACACGGTCCTTGGACTCCAGCTTGGACCGAAGCGGTGCAGAACGAAAGCCGGCTCCAGGAGGACACGAGCAGGGTGGCAGTTGGCAGTGCAGTGTCGTCTCGGGTCTCTTTAGGATGCCATTTAAAGTTTCATACTGCGGTTACGAACGGGGGCTTCGGGTATGGGTCTTAAGTGCTAGAGCAACCCTTTAGGTCCCCAAGACACCTGGCCAATGACGAAAGCTCCTATTTCTTGAGCCATGAAAAAGTGTCAGAGCACATAGTTGTGCGTGTCATCCTGCAGGGGTCCATGCTGCTTGCATGTGCACAGTGCCAAACGCACATACAAATGGTTTGTTTAGGTCAGTTTCTGGTTTCTTTAGGGTTCATTTCATGCTTACGACACAGAGGCAGGCATGACCCTCCAGTGTCCAGGGGTCGGCGGCAGAGGGCGTAGCCCTTTAATAAATGTATGTAAAATGTAGAATAGAATTTGTTATTATGTGCATGATATAGTTGTGTATGTGTATGTATATTATATATATAGCAATAGAACGTAATAGAATGGAGCTTTGTTGTTCCCATCCACTTCCAGTCGAGACACTGTCTGGGACCAACGATCCTTTTCGCCGCCCAAACCATCAATGAGCTTGTTGGCGTTGCCAAGCCTGGACGACAGACATTGATGTCATGATGTCGATCGGTGGGACAAGTGACTGTTGGGAACAGAGTCGGAAGCGTATGCAATGCAGCTGAGCAGCTTGATCACACACATCTCCATCTCATGTGCTAGCTGCTCCTGAGCAATGTCCCCCAAGACAGCTCGCGTTTTCTGTGATTTAGGTGCTGAAGAAACACGGCATCAAGTCAAACCAGCCGATAGACCCACCAAAGATGTGAATTCAAGTTGAACCCGTTCGGGCATCTAGCTTCGCTTCAAGAATATCGCCATATCGCTCCTGCTTTGCCACTGCATCGTTGTAGTCCCCTTCCAACTGTGCGAGCTTGTCTTCGACCGCCTGCGTGGCATTTCTATGATGTTAGGTCCCCATAGGTCCCCTAGAATCAACCAGGACGTGAGATTTATTGATATTTTCCTGATCCACAAGTCTAAGTGATCATTCCGTTGGTGGAGAGATGCTCTGGCCTCGATACTGAATTTTTTAGACAGTGTATCACTCTCCACCCCCACCTTCAGCTCTGCTTGCGCATTCCGCAGCTTTGTCATGGTGACCTTGTCGCTTCAGCAGGAATTGTGAACTTTATCGATCTGAAACTGTACAAAGATAATTTCAAAGATATGCTTGCAAACAATCATCTTCCATCTTCCCATATTCCAACAGTGCTGGGATTTACGCAGCCATTTGCTGCCACCTCTTCTTCCACAGCTATTATGAAAGCTACCCATGGAAGCTACGGTGCCTCCAAGCTGGCTTCTGCGTCCGCCAACATCCTGTGCAATGCATGACCAGCTGTGCAAAAACCGAATGCATCTGGCATCCAATCCGGGACCAATCCAACATGTGTCATCTTCACTGGTATCTTCACTGGTATCTTCACTGGTATCTACTGTATCTTCGAGTGGCAGTGAGATTCACAGAAAATCTTCATTTAGCTGAGCTCATCCCGTGCCGCCGTGCTGCGCCTTCTCTTGGGCTCGACTGCTTTTGCCACAAAGTGGTATTTGTGCATTGCTCGGGTCCTCGGCGACTTGGGGATTTCAGTCTTCATCACAGCCCTTTTTCATCCTTTTTCTTCAAGGCTCGAGAACATGTCTTCAGCATACACTGGTATAATCGGGTATATACATGTATATACATCATTCTGAACCTTTTGCCCTCAAACCGATTTGCCTCTGTGAAACAAATCAATTTGAATCCATTTCAAGTGACTTAAGGGACTTAAGGTGGTTCTATGTCATTAAATGTCATTAAATGTCATTAATCTATACCAATATGCTGCTATCTGGTCACAGGTTGAGATTCGCACCACATGCACAAGGCCTCACAAGCCACTGACGACTTCTTGATCGCCGCAGGATCAAAGTCCTGCTCGGTTGCAAATCTTGCAAGGTAAGGAGGACAAAGGCCACCAGATCCAGATTCAACCAACAGAAAAGGAATTTAACTTAAACAACACAAATGGCTCAACCTAGCCAACTTGGTTATGTAACCCAGCAAATATTTTGTTTTTTCGGGGGGGAAATCCTCAGTTGATGGTGGGTTGAACATCCATGAACGCCAGCAAATTGCTAGCTTTTCGAACCATGCCGCACCCAATCATGGCGAGAAAAGTTTTCTCATCTTTAAAGACCAGGCTCGTTTCACAATGCTGGAGGAATCTATGTGAGTTTGTCTCAAAACTTAGAACTCCAAAATCCCATCCTTTTTGTTTTCCTATAAAAATTGCCATATCTCGGTCAAATCCCCCATTTTTCGTTGAACCCATACCAGTTCCTAGGAACAGCAGGTCCGTGGATCAAGTAGAATCTCCTCACGGTCCACGTACTCTGAGATCTTCTTGATGACAGGTTCCGCGATGTTGTCCTGACCAAATGAGTTTGTCAAGGATCTACCTCCAAGGTATTGGCAATGTTTACATTCTTCTGCGGGGAAAATTATGATAAGCCACAAAAAAAACACTGGATTATGCGATTTTGCGGGGTTACCGGTTACCTCATTTTCAACAAGCATGTTGGATGTAGATGAGGTCGAAACGGCCGGTCTTTTGTCAGTGTCAACTGAAATTCAGTGCCCTCGTCCAGGGGGTCAAGACTGGCCAGGCCTTGTCAAACTCAAAGAGATCGTCCAGAAGTTTCTTGGGATCGCTCAGTGGTCCCTTTTGAGAAGCCTGGAGCTGAGAGGAATCAAAGTTCAATGCACAGTGCTATGTTCAACTTTGCTACCCTTGTCCTTCTACTGACAGATACTCAATGCACAGTGTAAGTTTGAATCAGCAAAAAGTCTCGCAAAAGGAACACCGGACTTCCCTGGCATACTGCCTCCCAGTAGTCATCAAACTTCTTTCCCGGCTGATTCGGGTCTGCTTTCTTGATCGGCCTTGGGATCATTTGCAGAGCATCGATGCCAGGGTGCAAATCGTGAACCAAAAGGTGGTCAAAAAAGGCCAACCACCAAGCTTCACACTTGACCTGAAACATCACGCAAACAGCCTCAACAGGAAACACAGGAAACTCAACCCACCATGTTAACAAGCTCCAAAAAACCAAGCACCCTGAGGGAGCTATGCCATTCTGCGCCCGAAATTTGGGTACGTTTCAGTCGTATCATGTCGTATCCCAGCGCCTCCAAGGTCAACTTCACACCATCCGGCGGCTTGGCCAAAGCCTTGATCTCCTGCGATCACTGGACTGCACCTCAAATTACAGGGTTTCGCCTGGGATGAAATCAGGAATTTAAGTCATACTTATATCAAGTATTACTAGATACTATCTCACTATATCTCACTTATCTAAAATCTAAAACGCGGCATCAAGGTTTTTGGGTCCTTGAAACATCTGGAAACCCAGAAACAAGTTTTGCAAAAAAAATGAAGGTACGACCCAGTATCCAAGTTGTGAGATGTTTCGTAGGTCCTGCAGGCTCGAGAGCTTCAAGGCTTTCAGCGCCTTCTCTGCCACGTTCAGTGCAGGCCTTGGTAACGGCCGATGGAGCGCCTTGCCAAGTTTCATGGTGCTGATCATTGGTGGAATAAAAAGGTCCCAAAAGATCCCAATAGAGTGTTTAAGAATATCCCTGATTTTTTCCGATTTAAAGGGTGGGTGCGGTGTCGTGAATAAGCCCCAGGCAGTGCTTCGTTCAGATCTTTCTCTGCATCTTCTTTGATGGCAGTGGCTTTTTCGGCCTTGCAGCAAACACAAGTCAAAGCAACAAACAGCTCTAAGCATTATCCTGGTAACTGTTACAATGATGGGCCACTACTAGTCCTGCAACTGGGTTGATTTCGCCCTCTTCACATAATGTATATATGTATATATTATATCATACATATATATATATATAATCATGATAATTACTTGCATTATTACCAATTACCATTACTATTATTGTCAGTATTATCATTGCTAGTAATGTGCGTATTGTTACTCTTACTATCATTGCTACTAATTTTATTGTTGTTACTACTCTTATTACTCTTATTACTCGTTTTACTCTTATGACTCGTATTGCTCTTATTATTCCTCGTATTACTCTTGTTGTTACTATTATTAATATCCTTATTAGATAATAGTATCATTACTAAATTATCGCTATTGCTATTTCTGTTGCTACTATATATATATATTAACCCCATAAATCCCACAAAATCTTGAAATTTCTAAGCCACTAACAGCTGACAGCCGCATGGTACCCCCATCACTGAGCTGCCCAACTCCTTCTTTGGCTTCCGCCTCGACTACCTGACACTCCTCTTTGGTGACTGCGGCCTGGGCGCGGATCCGTTGCATTTGGGGTGCGCAAGAAAATCATCAACAACTGGGGGATGTTCACCACAAGATTGGTGAAAAATATGAAACATAATACACGCTGTAGAACTATTATAAATCATATATAACTATGAGGATTCAGAATAGATCCACTGATTTTTTTTGGAACCCCGGCCATCACGAAAAAGCATCCAAGGCCAGGACCTTGGCCTTGTCTTCGGTGATGACCACCATCATATTGGCAACCTGGATGGGAAACAAAATTTGTTTGCAACATGTTGTAACCCCAAAAAAACAGATGGATAAGGGATGATAAGGCTGAAGTTACCACTAACAGTTGAGGAGGACTTGACTTTGTCTTTTTGAATCTTATTGGTTAACTTATTGATCTTATTGGGAGGTGCTGGAAATGGCGAAGAAGAAACCAAGACACTCAGCACAAATAGCACAAGGACGGAGGAAAGAAATGGAAAGAAGCCAAGCAGGGCCAAGCAGCCTTGATTTTCGTCTCTTCCAGCACTGGCTGCTTGGCTTCCAACTCCGTCTGCATGTTTGCAACAGCATAGGCTGCCGCCCCAAGTGCGTCCAAGCCCTTCTGCAGGCGGTTCTTCAACGTTCCTACTGCATCCTTGGGACACCAAAAAGATCCAAAAAGGCTGTTCAATTTTACACAGCACCATTCAGCACCCCAAGCTGCCAAGCTGCTAAGCTGCTTGCAGAGTCACATGTTTTTCCAAAGAATGGGCTCCCAAGATTTGGATTGGGATTCTGATTCCCAAACATCACATCGATGCGAAACCTCTGGAGACACGTGCTTTGGAGGTGGCCTTCTACGGACTTGAGCTCCGGGCTCGTCTCAGAGCCAGAACCTGCCAACTAAACCCAGTTCCCCTGTTTGACTTGGCAGTCCAAGCTGGAACGAGGACTGGTGGATTTGAAAACCTCCGGCCTTCTTGAACGAAGAGATCAGCTCCAGATAGGAAGTAGGCGTAATATAAATGGCCCGCCTCGTAGGTTGAGCTCAAAGGCAAACAAGGCTTCGCGATTTTGGGACAGCTCTTGAAATTTGGCTTTGAATGAGCCACAGAATCCATGTCCAAAGGTTCCATTCCAAATCAAACCCTTTATCTCAACTTCTCGGGTCACACTTGCTGGCGGTTCTGCATGAGCGGTGCAGCTCAATTCCAGGCCTGACAGTCTCCATCGTTTTCTTGGCAGCCTTCTCGACAGATTGATGCACCACAGAGAAGACTTTCAGAACGCCTGGGACCATTGGGACCAGCAAATATGCGGCGCGGTATGGCTCAAAGTTGGGGCACCAATGGGCCCTGCCATAAGAATCGTCATTTTTACTATGTCTGAAAAAAATGAGTCGTACCCATAGCGTCAGAGTTGCTGTTGCCTTGCAACAGGTGACATGCCTTCATAATCTGAATAGTCCTTTTAGTCCTTTTTCAGGAAGACATTGAAATGCAGCCTCCTCTCTGATCTTTCTTGGGGCTGCACCAGTTGTATCCGTGTCAGTTCTAAGGTCCAAGCCTTCAAGATTGGGTAGCTTCAGGTCCTCCAGGGTCATCTGCTGTTTGCCCACGCTGTACAGAGCCTGGCGAGAACCGAGCAGTGGAACTGAGCCATGCCATGGCTGTCAATTTAGAGGCACCTCTGCAGGCCATTCCGCGAACCAGTCGATGGTGCAGCAATTCACCAAGGATGGAAACATTCGGAGACCTTGGTGAAAGCCGTAGGCACCAGGGCAGAGGTGACTTCGGCGACTTGGCTGCAATGTAAGATCGTAGACAAGGCATCCGGGAACATACCAAGGGATGAACAGGGATATGACGACAGCCAGGACCCTCCGTTTCCTCGCAGCTGGCCAGAAAATGCTAGGACCGGCACGCGTTCGGAAAGCATCACCAACCGGTGAGAAGGCCAGTACAACATGCACATTTGCCTGCAAGCATATTCATCTGAATTGAAACTGAATCGAATGTTTCGGTACGGTACCAAAGGACGATAATTGCTGGGTGCACCACAACCAAAAGCCAATTTGAGCCTTCACCCTGGACAAGTAGGTGCTGAAGACATTGGCTTTGGTGGGCGGAATGCCTGCCTGCCGAAGCTGAACCAGTAATGGCCGAGTGAAGAAGAAGAACAACAACAACAACAAGCAGAAAGAAAGGCGCTTACGTATAAAAAGTTCGCTGATGGGTTTCAATTCAAACACTTCAATCTGGTAAAAACCAAAATATTGGGTCAAACCAAAGACATCTTAGCTGTAAGGAGTATAGTCATACTCGCCCTAAGAATGCCTGCTGACACGCAGCACGGCAAGCTTGCATGATGGAGTCCATGTCCTGACATCGTCACAGGAAGCATCAACAAATCATGCAAGTCATGGCACTTTTACAAGTGTGCACTGTTTTTGCGACTCTTCAAAATGTTCCATTCTAAGTATGCGAGTCTGCGATCAGGATTCAACGCAAAACTTGTTAGTGTGTCCATGTGTGTCCTCATTCTTGTATAGGTTGGGCACATCACCAGAGTTCAAGACATTGTTGATAGCTTCCACCATTTGCTCATTCACGATCTGTGTATCCGCGAAGAGGAAGGTGGTGGACTTCTGCTCGTTGCCGCACTTCATCAAACAGGTCTTCAGGTCATCCTTGAACTCAGTCATGCCATAGCCCTTGACGACATCGATTTGGAAGATGTCATACCTTGGATTTGCCCGGTGCCCCAAACAAATACTGCATATTCAAACAAATTCCCAATATTCTGCAAATGTTGGATTTCCCAATGGGGAAATACACACAGGGTAGGAAATTGTTTAGGGAATTTACTTTTTTTAGTTTAGGGATTATTTTTTGGATTCCTGGCTGTGCCTATTTTCCACGCTATTTGCGGGCTGGAACCTTCTATTTTGTATGCCATTTGCAACATTTTGGAGCTGGACCCTTTAATTTTGCATGCTATGCACAGCATTTTAGAGCTAGAACCGTAAATGTTGCGTGCTATTTGCAGCATTTTATATTGGAACTTTCCTTTTTGCATGCTATTTGCAGCATTTTGAAGCTGGAATCCTGCATTTTGCTTGCCAGTTGGATATGTGCATATATTTGCAACATTTTGGAGCTGGAAGTTTCCATTTGGCATGCTATTTCCAAGTTGTTGTTGGTTGTTGATTGTGAATTCTTGTCTGTTAGTTGTGGGTTCTTGTTTGTTGCAGTTGTAGCTGTTTAGTTGCCGTAGCTTTTGTAGCTTTAGCTGTAGTTATAGTTGTAATAGTAGTTTCTTCTTGTTGTTGCTGTTGTTGTTACTGTTGCTGTTGTGGTTGTTGTTGGTGTAGCTGGAGGAACACACCCACAGCTGTTGATGTTGTGGTCTTCGTTTGGGTGTCGGCTGTGTCTGTGATTTCCTTACCCTTGTGGCTGTGGTTGCGGTGAGGTGAACACAAACAAAGCCATGAAGTCAAGAAACCCGTAAAGCTTTGTAAAACCAAGAAGAAAGAAAACAGGCGAAACCATCAAGGCCAAAAAAGCAGAGAGACAAACAACCTACGTTTGCCTGGTATTTCCAATATGTTCAGCATTCTGCAACGTCAACCTGCATTGTGGAGATAGAACCTCTCATTTTGCATGGCATCTGCTAAATATGGAAGATGTACCCTTTCATGTTGCATGGTATTTGCAGCATTTTTGAACGTCAACCTTCCATTTTGCATGTGAGCTTCCATTTTGGCTATTTTGGTTCATATTTGAAGCATTGTGAAATTGTAACTTGTCAACCAGCTCATTTACATCATGGTCTTTACACCAACGCAAAGAAATCAAAAAGGTCAAAAATGAAAACACGGAACACAACAAAATAGAAACAGCTGGACGAGGGCGTGGGGGAGAGGGCGCAGCGCCTCCACCCAAGGAACACAGAGACAACTTCGTTCTAGTTGTGTTCCTCCTTTGCCATTGTAGTTGTTCTTGTTTCTTTTGTTGTTCATGTTGTTGCTGTTGCTTTTGTTGTTCTTGTTGTTCCTTTTGTATTTGCTGCTCTTGTTGCTTGTCCTGCTGGTGCTGTTCTTCATGTAGTTGTAGCTGCACTTGCAATCAAGCAGAACAACAAGGAAGCAAGAAGAAAAACAAAAAGCAGCGAAAACAGAAAAAATGCGAAGCAGAGAACAACAGAGAAAAAAAAAAACAGAAGCAAAAAGCAGAGAAGCAAAAAAAAGCAGAGAAGCAAAAACGCAGAAAAGCATAGAAGCAGCACAGTAGAGAGGAGGGAGGAATTTTAAAAAAACTAAACTAAAAAGAAACACGCCCTAAAGAAATGGCCCTCCATAAACAAATCTGAAGCAAACCCAGGATACTCAGACATGAAGCTGGCAAGACGGGACAAAGATTGCCGACCTGATCCACCAACGCACAGCAACAATGCATTGCCACTGGGCTGTCGAAGCACCCGGCACACACGTGCCACGTGCTCGCAGGCATCTGCAAACATAACCAAGGGCATGGGGACTGAGAACATGTTGTTGTAGTCATCCAAAAAGCCTTCCATGATGGTCTTCATGGCCGCCATGCTGTCAACCTCAGAATAGAAACGATCCCCAGAGGAGCTCATGAAATCAGCGAAGACCAGGCGCTCTTTGTCGAAAACTTTCACAGGATCGATGCCAAACGACGTACTGAGCTGCCCATCCAACTTCCCGCGCAGCCATGCGCGATCTTCGTCAGTGGTCAAGCGGTCACCATAGACTCGAACATTTTCGTGGCAGAAACATCTGATCGCGACAAGAGGATCTGTGACCTTCTTTGACTTCAAAGAGCAGATTCCCTGGAAGACTTTCCAAATGTCTCGCAGGTTGAAGGTGTAATGACTCTTGGAAGGAGTGGGCAGCAAATCAGTTCCAGCTGCTTCAAAGGTGTCAATGGAGCAGTTCACGATGTTGTCCTGCACAGCAAACTGGAGAAGCTGTCACCTCTAGCATTCTTTACATTGCAGGATGGCGAAAGCCACTTGTACAGCGTTGCAGAAGGGAAATAGTTATGCGCAAAATCAAACAAAGAAGAAAAATCTGTACATAGACATAGGCCAAACATAAATCATGATCAAACATAGTGAATAGCGAAGCAGTCCTTCAGATCGATGATAGACTTTTCGAAGCCTTGCTGCAGGAAGTAGTCGAGAATTGTCGAGAAAATTCCGAAGATGGATTCTCGGGACATGTCAGCTGCCACCACCGCGTTGTAGTGCCTGTCCGAAGGCTCATGACTTCAAACACAAAGACCATTGGCACTCTTAAGTAGCCTCCTCTTTCACCCTAGAAAGGCATGACAGCTGCTAGAAATATTCTTATCTTGTTATGATCTACTTTCTTGAGGAACCTATCACAACTCACCCACCAAGCTTGATAACACCAAGGCACCAAGAGACCCCTTCAAGTCTTCACCCGCTTTTGCCCTCCCAACCCTCCTCTTCAGGCGTCCAGAGATCTCTGTGCGGCCACCACCAGGAGGTCCCATGGCAGAGACATGGACAATGTCCTAAGAAACTCCATCTTCTGTTCAGGTTTGTTCGCAAATGATATCATAGACGATAATATATATAATTAAAAATATATATAATTATATATATATATTGATGGTCATCTATTTGATTGTTTTCAACTCAGCAGTCGTCATGACACGCAAAATCATGTCCCTTGCGCTCTCCTTCCTCGCAGCTACACGACTCTGAGGGGCTGACAATGATCTCTTGCATTTTCAACTCCTGCCGGTCAAAAAGAACCCTCATGGCAGAATTCTTTGCTTGTCAACCGTCCATCATCCAAAACGTTGCAGCTGTCCAGTCCTTTCGGTTGTACCAGCCATTGTAGTCCATCCATTGCCGGATCAGCTCAATCGGTGGTTGAGCACCATAGTACTCCTGGCATTGCGATTTCCAGTGCAGAATTACCACCATCACAAGATGAGAAAGTGTGATGATGTCTTGAGAGCAAGGAAGATCAGATTGCTGGCTTTCATTGCAACTCACTTGTCTTGTTGCTCCTTCTTTGGCATGTTCAAATCATCGATGAAGATTACATTTTTCTTGCCAGCAGGTGGGCCTTGGGTGTTAAGGCAGATGTCAGAATCTGGTATGAGGACTGAATGTATGTACATGTGAAACCACAATGTCAGAATTACATTATATCATCAAGTGTTCCCGAATAGAATTGAAAATGACAGAAACGGAAACAAAGCAACTGCATCAGTACGTCTGCACCTTTTGCTATGCAGTTGGCTTTGCGGCTGTGTTTCTGTCAGATGCCAATCGCATCTATCACAAAATGATTTCACAGAAACTCTGAAATGCAGTGGTGGTGTCACACGTCAAAAACCACCCAACCCGCCGGAGCGTTCAGCTCGCGCAGTAATGAAGGAAAAACAGGGTTGTAGGTGGGAAAACACCACTGTACACCAGAAAGTCAGCCGCAACCACCTGGCTCCAAAGGACGGTAGTTGTCGATCGGGACGAAACCCAGTGAAGTCAGGATGGGTAAGTTCATCAGCCCATTTGTTGTAGTCCCGCTTCATGTGTGAAGGCGCCAGTTGGACCCCAGCAGCATAGATCATGGCAATGAGTTGCATGAGGAAAGCTGAGGTAGGCATATGTTTCGTCTTCCGGTTCAACAGGGCAAAGATATTGCCTTGATTGTCCGAGATGAGGCTGAGTCTGGCACGGAGTAAAGATTCCCCCCCAGAGTCAACAGGAAATGGGTGAGGATCAGCGTGCCGAACATCTCAAGGGTCGCAATGCGTCTAGTTGGGTCACCATCTTTGTGGGCCCAGGGGTGATCCTCAAGGGGTATCTTGTAGTGGAACCACCAGGTCTGTTCCTTTGACGGGCTTTCACAATCTGCAATCCACCCCCCAATGTAGGCCCCATCATCTGGATGTGCACTGGCATCACTAGCACCCCACCAGTTGGAGGCGGGGTCATATGGGCAGGGCTGAATCTGGGGGTTGTGGAGCAGCTGGAGGAGGAGCTTGGCAAAGGACCGTATGAGCTTGCCAGGCTTGCCTGAAGTGGTCGTTGCTGCTTTCCAGGCCCAGAATGGTTGAAGGAAAGGGCGACTGAGGGGCCAAGCTGCCGTTGCACAATTCAAGCGTCCCAATGCTCTCTCAATCTCCTTGGCCGTGAAAGTGTTGCCGGAGGCGATGGTCTGGAGGAGTGCCTCAAGTGTCTTCCTCTTATCTGAAGGGAAGTCCACCACCGGTCCGCATGGGTTGACCTGGAAACCTAACCAGGTGTTGACCTCAGATAACACTGTCTTGTGCCAACTGAGAGGGCACCCCATAGCTGCTAAGAAGAGAAGCAGCTTTGCCGTATCCTCAGTGGCAGTGTCCGTTCTGAGGAGCCAGCAGAAATCGTCCACAAACACGAAGCCCCAGTCAACGTGTGGGAACACCATGTAGCACAGTCTGAGGAGTAGTGCCGCCATTCGGCCCCAGTAAAGTTGGGCGCTGGCCATGCCATAAGTGCCCACCTTGTTTATCCACCATTCGCCATCAAGTTGTGCTACCTGGTAGCGCCATTCGTTGGATTGGACCTTGATGCGGCGGTGTGCTTTTGGAAACAAGGACGGGGCGCCTCCCGCTTTGTCCAGTTGATTGGAGAACATCGTGGGGCCAAAGTCAACCTCCAGAGGGGGCTCATCCAAGATCAACTGGAGGTTGACTTTGGCCCCACGATGTTCTCCAATCAACTGGACAAAGCGGGAGGCGCCCCGTCCTTGTTTCCAAAAGCCCTGGCAGGCCTTGCAGACCAAAAGAGAGCGAAGTTCCCCATGAGTGATGTCTCTGAGATACTTGGTGGCAGAGCTCGGCAGGGCCGGGACCAGGGATTCCCAACCTTCAATGGTGAAAGTGTCAGTGTTCTGGTCCATGTGGATCGTCAAAGTCTCCTTCTCCAAAGTCTGCAGAGTCGACCTCCTGGCTGATGAAGCAGCCTGGACGAAGCCAGAAGGAGGCTTGGCGCCAGAAGCTGCCACACCCGTCTCCTGCTTCGGGTCCAACCCCAGGTGCGCCATCACCTTCTCCATTTCTTGGAGCTGCGCAGCAAGGGTCTCCTTTGTGAGGTTGGGATCACACTCAAAATCTGTCACAACCTTGGCCGGCGCAGCCTCGGTTTCCGTTGTGCTGACTGAGTAACATGTAGTCACTCCCTGTGTCCATTTCCGTTCCAATCAGAGAGAAGGAACCCACAGTGCCCGTCTCACTTGCCACTGGACTTGAAGACGCCATAGGCAAAAAGGAGGATCGGAACGTTTTTCGAGTGTTTGGATCACAGGGGGACAGCTTGAGCCAAAATGGCATAGCCATTTTGGCAACTATATCGTCAACACATTACTTGCTCTCCACAAGTTCCAAGCAAAGAAACAATCAACTATATTAACTATATGACCCTCTGACCGTCAAGCAACTGGTGGCCCTTTGAGCCCAAGGCCATACACACCACGACGTCTCTTCTCGAACTTCGAATCCAACAAATCCTGGGTCACCGGCGCTACTTCCATTCACAGAGACTGTTTTCACTATTTTTCAGTGCCACACTGCGCTGTCAACTACTAGTGGCCAGCTTGCTATTCGCAAAAACATACGGATTGAAATGAAATTATTGGACTCTATTAGCTTATCATACCATTAGTATCCATTAGCTATGTTCCATAAATCCATTGGAGTTTCAACAGCTGGTTCGTGTTCTCAACAGAAGAGATGGCAGAACATTGAACCAGAACTGACAGGGAAAACCAGTTTGGAACTCTCTAGGACGTTGTGGTTACCATGTGGGCATTTGTGAAGACACTAGCCTGGTGTTCATACCGAATTGACTGGTTGTCATGGGTGGTCATCTAACCACTCAAATGGTACCGATGGTAATGACAATCCCATTCAATAAACTGTGATAGTTTCCATCCATATTTTGGGACAATGGAAACAGCAGCCTGTTTGACCGTCAGTATCCAGGACTTCTCCAAGAACCCGGCCTGCAGCTGGTTCACATGCGTCTGGGCCTAAGCGGAAAGGGTGCAATGGCCAACCAACTCACTGTTCGTCGTGTGTCAATGCATTGGAAGAAATCCGCCGACCCCGGCCTTCGCCAAGGCTGGGGCGGCGCCTGGGACCACCGCAGGTGTGGACCTTGTCCTCTTCCAAACCCTCCAAACCTTTACCCTTAAGCAGCTTCCCCAACAGGCACCCCAGGGCCAGGGCCACAGCAATGACTTTCTATGAGCTTTCAAAGCTGCCGTTTGCCAGCCCGCAAAGGCTCCAAACGCCTCCAAAATTCCAAACCCCCAGGGCCAGCACCCTAGGGCCAAGGCAACTTCCCCAACAGGCACCCCAGGGCCAGGCCACAGCAATGGCTTTCTTAGGCTTTCAAAGCTGCCGTTTGCCAGCCCGCAACCCCTCCAAAACTCTCCAAACCTCTCCAAACCCTCCAAACCCTCCAAACGCTCCAAACCCTCCTAAACCCGCCAAACCCTCCAAACACCGTCCCCAGCAGGCACCTCAGATCCACAGCAATGACTTTCTTGATGCTTTCAAAGCTGCCTTAACAGGGGGCCAGGGCCACAGCAATGACTTTCTATGGGCCTCAAAGCTGCAGTTTGGGGGGCCAGGGCCACAGCAATGACTTTCCATGGGCCTCAAAGCTGCAGTTTGCCAGCCTGCAAAGGATCCAAACTTCCAAAATTCCAAACACCTTCCCCAACAAACACCGTCCCCAGCAGGCACCTCAGATCCACAGCAATGACTTTCTATGGGCCTCAAAGCTGCCGTTTGCCAGCCTGCAAAGGATCCAAACTTCCAAAATTCCAAACACCTTCCCCAACATGCACCCTAGGGCCAAGGCAACTTCCCCAACAGGCACCCCAGGGCCAGGCCACAGCAATGGCTTTCTTAGGCTTTCAAAGCTGCCGTTTGCCAGCCCGCAAACCCTCCAAAACTCTCCAAAACTCTCCAAATCCTCCAAACCCTCCAAACGCTCCAAACCCTCCTAAACCCGCCAAACCCTCCAAACACCGTCCCCAGCAGGCACCTCAGATCCACAGCAATGACTTTCTTGATGCTTTCAGGGGGCCAGGGCCACAGCAATGACTTTCTATGGGCCTCAAAGCTGCAGTTTGGGGGGCCAGGGCCACAGCAATCTTAGGCTTTCAAAGCTGCCGTTTGCCAGCCCGCAAACCCTCCAAAACTCTCCAAAACTCTCCAAACCCTCCAAACCCTCCAAACGCTCCAAACCCTCCTAAACCCGCCAAACCCTCCAAACACCGTCCCCAGCAGGCACCTCAGATCCACAGCAATGACTTCCTTGATGCTTTCAAAGCTGCCTTAACAGGGGGCCAGGGCCACAGCAATGACTTTCTATGGGCCTCAAAGCTGCAGTTTGGGGGGCCAGGGCCACAGCAATGACTTTCCATGGGCCTCAAAGCTGCAGTTTGCCAGCCTGCAAAGGATCCAAACTTCCAAAATTCCAAACACCTTCCCACAAACACCGTCCCCAGCAAGCACCTCAGATCCACAGCAATGACTTTCTATGAGCTTTCAAAGCTGCCGTTTGCCAGCCTGCAAAGGATCCAAACTTCCAAAATTCGAAACACCTTCCCCAACATGCACCCTAGGGCCAAGGCAACTTCCCCAACAGGCACCCCAGGGCCAGGCCACAGCAATGGCTTTCTTAGGCTTTCAAAGCTGCCGTTTGCCAGCCCGCAAACCCTCCAAAACTCTCCAAAACTCTCCAAACCCTCCAAACGCTCCAAACCCTCCTAAACCCGCCAAACCCTCCAAACACCAGCAGGCACCTCAGATCCACAGCAATGACTTTCTTGATGCTTTCAAAGCTGCCTTAACAGGGGGCCAGGGCCACAGCAATGACTTTCTATGGGCCTCAAAGCTGCAGGTTGGGGGGCCAGGGCCACAGCAATGACTTTCCATGGGCCTCAAAGCTGCAGTTTGCCAGCCTGCAAAGGATCCAAAC